AACACTGAGCCACATCCCCAGCTCTATTTTGTATTTTATTTATAGAGACAGGGTCTCACTGAGCTGCTTAGTGCCTCACTTTTTCGGAGGTTGGCTTTGAACTCGCAGTCCTCCTGCCTCAACCTCCGAAGCCGCTGGGATTATAGGCATGGGACACCGCGCCCAGCTCCTTTTCTTTTTGAGACAGGGTTTTGCTGAGTTGCTGAGCCTGGCCTCAAACTTGGAATCTTCTCAGCGTCCCCAGGATTACCGTCTTGTGCCATCACTTTAACAATTTTAATTGACTTTTTGGTTTCAATTCTAGAGTCAGGCAACATTTCATTCCATATAGTGGTGTAAGTGTTCCCATGAGCCCCGTTGAAAAGGTGGGTTTCATAAATAGAAAAGGAACGAAGAAAGCACCAACAAAACCCAAAGCTGATCGGTCACTTCCCAGTTACTTCCTTTGTGAATAAGGGACAGGGAGACAGAACCATAGAAACATAACTGCTTCCCATCCGGTCACTTCAGGTTACCTTTGTGTGTGTGACGGTTAAAGCAGCGAGAACTTCATCATCATGCCAATTGAAACTGGCCTGGGTGGCGCTCTGGATATTTACCTCCCTGGCTCGGAGTTCCGTGAAGTTTGGATAAGTCTGGTGGTGGCACTTTAGCGTGAGTGACTCCATTTTGATTTTCAACCTGGTCTGTAGGGATCTAGTGGAGGAGTTTAGTCCTAAGCCCTGGCTTCCTGTGCCTGAGTGAAGACTGGGAGGGAGGAGTAAAGAGAAGAGCGTGGGAATACACAGCCTGAGAGCCGCCGCCCTCGTGTGACAAAAGAATCAACAAGCTGTGACCAGCAGGCACAATTCCCTTCAGCACAGAATGCGGAAGTCTAGTCTTGCACACAGAGATAGAAATCATAATGTGTTATTAATAACCTGAAGATCTGCCTGAAAGCTGGGTACGGTGGTGCACATCTATCATCCCAGTGACTCGGGAGGCTGAGGCAGGAGGGTCGCGAGTTCAGAGCCCAGCCTCAGCAATCTAGTGAGGCCCTAAGCAACTAGCGAGACCCTGTCTGTAAATAAAATACAAAATAGGGTGGGGGATGTGGCTCAGTGGTGGAGTGCCACTGGATTTAAAAAAAAAGAAAGAAAGAAAGATTTGATGGAACAGCACATTAGAACACATAGTCTGATTGTCCTGTGTTCCTAACATCTCTTCTTAAATTGCCTTTGGGGCTGCCTTCACCCAGAGTGGCCAAAGTGGCCAGCTACCCATTGGCAGGGGGGCGTATGGCTGGCTCTGTTGATGCTACGGAGAAGGTCAAGGATGCCCAGGGCTCTGTCCCCAGTTTATAGTGCCAGACATTCCAGAACTTACCAGCCGCCCCTTTCTGATACCAATGGTGAGGACGTACCCTAGCTCACATGGGTTGTGCGGCTGCCAGGCTTTGGGATCCAAGATAGGAGATTAATTCAAAGTGAGTTGTTTTTTTTTTTTTTTTTTCCCTCAAGCAGAAAAAAAAAAAAATTGGCAATTGATAGAACTAAGGAAATGAGCTGAGAAAAAGCCAAACAAAGAACAGTGGGTGGATGATTCATGAGGTGGGGTTCTCTTTTCTGGCAAAAAAAAAAAAATGTTATTACAAGATTGTAATCTGCCTTGGCTGTCTTATTCTTTAATGACCATGTTCTCTTTCGGAATTATAAGTGTAGGTTTGGCCTGGGAAGGGGGAAAGAGTTGAAATGAAGGACTTTTATTATAAGTGGGCCCATTGTCTCCACTGGACTTTCCCTCGAGGGCTGCGGACATGACCTCTTCTCCAGTCCTACAGCTAAGTCCCAGTGCCCCTTGTCTGGGCAATGTGATTCATGATGTCTTGCCACCTTTGAGGACACAAGGCAGACAGAGTTTTTTCTTTCTTTTTTTTTTTTTTTTAAAGATCTGCCTTGGTTTGCTCCAAAGAAATGGAGGCATTATTTGTTGATTACATTATTTGAGGCTCTCTAACTCTTCCCTTATTGCAACTGTAAACACTTTCATTGTCTAAACCAATAATAGCCCAGGTGCGGGCAGGGACTCTTTTCTTCAGACAGGAAGACCCCAGGAAGAGCCATCAATCAGGGACCGTTCACAGTGTACAATTGGTGGGTGTCTGTCATTTCCAGTGTGGCTGAAGAGATAAGTCTGGAAGTGAAACTGCCTGGATTTGGATTGAGGAGAGGAAAATTGTAAGCATCGCCCTCCCAGGGTGCACCTGGAGAGGGCTTGCTTCAAGAATGATAGTTTCTATTATCAGTCGGGAAAAAAAAAGTTGAAAAAAACATGAAATTAGAGGGCAAAAAAAATCTTTCCATTAGGGAGAGGTGAGCAGTGACAGGTGTTGGGGTGGGTGGATATAAAACAGCAGGCACAAGAGCTGAGTCACACATGTGTTACTGGAAAATTGGGTGGGGACTGGCCTGATCTGGAAAGAACTAATAGGAAAGTTTCCTTCCAGGGTCTGGGGGTGTGGCCCAGTGGTGGAGGTCATGCTTAGCATGTTTGAGGTCCAGCACCACACACACACACACACACACACACACACACACACACACACACACACACACGATAAAATAAAAAAGTTCCCTCCCACAATTAAAATATAAGGTATGGGGCTGGGGATGTGGCTCAAGCGGTAACGCACTCCCCTGGCATGTGCGGGGTGCTGGGTTTGATCCTCAGCACCACATAAAAATAAAATAAAGATATGGGGCTGGGGATGTGGCTCAAGCGGTAGTGCGCTCACCTAGCATGCGTGCGGCCCGGGTTCGATCCTCAGCACCACATACAAACTAAGATGTTGTGTCCACCAAATACTAAAAAATAAATATTAAAATTCTCTCTCTCTCAAAAAAAAAAATAAAGATGTTGTGTCCACCAAAAGCTAAAAAAATAAATATTAAAAAATATATATATAAGTTATGTACTGATAATCTATAGATAAATCTGGGTTTTAGGAACTGTGTGCTTGGAATTGAATCGAGGATCCTTGAAGTATTTGTGTCCTACAGACTGTTACTTCATCTCCCAAATCCCCTCCCCTTAAATGTAAAATGGGCATCTAGGGGTATCAACCATCTTGGGCTGGGGAGAGAGCAAATGATTAATTCATGGACATCATGGAGAAAGCACTTAGCAGACGCTAGCTATTAATTGTCACAAAGGGGCTGGGGATGTGGCTCAAGCGGTAGCGCGCTCGCCTGGCATGCGTGCGGCCCAGGTTCGATCCTCAGCACCACATACCAACAAAGATGTTGTGTCCGCCGAGAACTAAAAAATAAATATTAAAAAACAAAACTCTCTCTCTCTCTCTCTCTCCTCTCTCACTCTCTCTTTAAAAAACAAAATTGTCACAAAGGCTGTGACATCACAATGACTCTTCTGTAGCACAAATCAGTCGGATATTTCAGTTTTTAATTAGTTATGTGATCTTGGGGCTAAGTTTTCTCATCTGTAAGATGAGGGAATTGGATCAGATAAGGTCTAAACTGACTTTATTAAAGTCTATATTAAGTCTGGAATTATACTCTGTGCATTTTCCTAGTGTAAATAGTGAGGCAGACAAGCGGTACCTGTCTTGGACACACAGACCCAGGGACAGGCTGAGAGGTAACTCTTCACCTGAGGAAGGTGTTCCTCTGTGCTGCTAGTCCTCTACGATGTCATCAGAGGGGCACAGGAGCGTGACCTGGTAGCCTTTCTGTGGGTCAACCTGGGAAGGTCGATCAGAAGCCTTAGAAGTATTTGTGCCTTTACTGGGGTATGGGAGAAGCTCAGAAGGCTGAGGCAGGAGGATTGCCAGCCTTGGCAACTTGAGACCTTGTCTTATATGTGAGAGAGAGAGAGAGAGAGAGAGAGAGAGAGAGAGAGAGCAGGAATTTTAAAGGCTGGGGATGTAGCTCAGTACCAAAACAAAAATAAAAACAAAAATCCTAAAGAAAACAAAATCCTATTACAAATTCTGAGGGTAGGAGGGTCTCTTGGACTTTGGAGGGTTTGACAGCTCAGTTACGTCATCAAGAATCCAGGCCTAGTCAGGTGCAATAGCCTGAGGATCACAAGTTCAAGACCAGTCTAGGTAACTTGCTGAGACCCTCCCTCAAATTTTTAAAAAAGGGCTGGGGTGTAGCTCAGTGTGTGAGTCTCATTTTCCATCTCTAGAACTGGGGGTGGGGAGGTGGGAGGGTGAGGGGCAGGCCTTTCCAACTTGCTGTTCTGCCTCCTTATGCATCTGCCCTGGGGTCGACCACCCTGTTGTTGTTGCCTCTCTTGTTGCCAAA